CCCCCTGCTTGTACATTCTCTTGTTCTCTCACTCTCTCTCTCTGACAAATAAATAACCTTTAAAAAAATAAAATTATAATTTAAATATTATGTGCACAAAACTAGAAAATTATATACTTGGAATAAAAAGGACTTAGAATAAAAAGGAAGTCTCCTTTCCTGAGGCAACCACATTTAAGTTTAATTTTAGGGCTTCAGATGGTTAAATCTGTATCTCTAATAATATACTTATTTTTCTACTTTTTTCAGGGGTGTAATCAGTTTTGGACATTGTTTACTGACTTTCTGCTAAAACAAAATGCAGACCTAAGTCACTTAGCCAAAGGCACTTCTTTGTCTCCTCATAATACAGTTTTATGACTATTCACAGTTCAACCCTTACCAATGTTGTAACTTTACATCTCAGATTTAAGTCTTTATTATTTTTTCATCACCTATAGGAAAGCTCTCTTCACACCCTATTTTTAAGTATGTTGACATCATACTTACATACATAACTGACTTACACCTCCATCTTTCTTTCATCTCCTCTCTTAATTTTTAATTCTTTCATAGTGTGGACTTTACCTAGTCTTCCATGTTATCATGGTTTAAAACATTTTGTTGTTTCTGTAATCACAGAGTAGATGAAATATCTGTCAAATATTCTACAACTAGTTTATGGGCTGATTCTACAAGTCAAACATGACGGTTTTCATGTGAGGAGTTAAGCGGGGACTCTGCTGTAGGACTCTGCTGTATTCCTTTCCTGAGTCCAACTTCCTATCATCTGTGCCATTCAAAAGGCAAAATTTCTAGAATTAAGTTCAAATGAATTTTCCTTTAATGCTTGTACTTCAATAATTGACTTCACCATATCCAGTGTTTCTTAGAGGATCTCATACAGTATTTCCATAGATCAATTCCTCTTATTCCTGAGACCTCCCTCTGGCCCATGTCTATCCATTCTGGACTAACTGCTCTCAAGGTCTATAGTACAGCTGTCATTCTGGGATAAGAAGTTACTGTTTTCCTGATTTCATGTCTTCTCCTGTCTTGGTTTACTGTTTATTTTGCTCAACATATGCTCAGGCAACTTCTTAAGAAAAAGTAAATTGTAGGTAAACTTTGGAAAGTTTACATGAGAAACAATATCCCTAGTACAGCTTCCTCTGATTTTTCTCCCTAAATATGAAATCACTGATTATTGTCTTCCAGAATCCAATATTGATAAGCCAATGACAGTCTAATTCTTACCTGTTTGCATGTGACCATCTCACATTCTTTCTCTGAAAAGTTCCGTTTTATTATTCATCTTCTAAAACTTCATCGTAATTTTCTAAGACTAAATCTTTTTTCATTCATTATGTCATGCCCTTTTAGTCTGAACACAGTTTTCCCTCATGATAAGATAGTAGAACATTCTTTTTTTTTTTTTTTAAGATTTTATTTATTTATTTGACAGAGATCACAAGTAGGCAGAGAGGCAGGAAGAGAGAGAGGAGGAAGCAGGCTTCCCGCTGAGCAGAGAGCCCTATACAGGGCTCGATCCTAGGACCCTGAGATCATGACCTAAGCTGAAGGCAGAGGCCTAACCCACTGAGCCACCCAGGCGCCCCAATAGTAGAGCATTCTTAACGAAAACTTTCAGAAGCCGAAACGGCACAAATTAAAGCAGAAACATTACTTTGTGTGGAAATTTTCTTGAGTATTTCTGGACCCAAAAGATAACCTCTTTCAGGCGTTCCTGATACCTTAGGACACATTTTGAAGACGGATGCACAAAATAACTCCACATAGGGGCGCCTGGGTGGCTCAGTGGGTTAAAGCCTCTGCCTTCGGCTCAGGTCATAGTCCCAGGGTCCTGGGATCCAGCCCCGCATTGGGCTCTCTGCTCAGCGGGGAGCCTGCTTCCTCCTCTCTCTCTGCCTGCCTCTCTGCCTACTTGTGATCTCTGTCTGTCAAATAAATAAATAAAACTCTAAAAAAAAATAATAATAACTCCACACAAAGCACCGGTGCTCATAGTCACAGTTCAAAGCTATGGGAGCTCAGTGCTGAGATTCTGAGTATGGTTTCCAGGAAAGGAGCTTGGTGGGGCAACTCTCACCACTCAGGGTAACACAGACTTTTGAAGGGCACACAATACCTGTATTTAGGTTTTGTAACTGGGAAATACCCTATAGAATTTCTTTGTAACTGGGAAATACCTTATAGAATTTCTTTGAAAATTTACTCTTTTCCCCTCCTTTCATCGTAGAAACTCACTCTTCAGATGAAAGAGCTTCTAAGTTGATCCTACATGCATCTATATTTTCCCTATATTTATGTTTTTTTGTTTTAGTTTTTGGGATAGCTCCTATTTTTTAAAATGTAATCATATTTTTAACTTCTTGTAGCTCTTTTGCGTTTTCCTTTTACAGTGAATGGTCTATAATATATAAAACTCTCTACAGATCTTAGTATCTTCATTTCTCTCCTGCTCTGTATTCTCTCTCTTCTTATGGGATCTGTTTTCTCTGCACTTTTACTTTAGTCATTCTCATTGTAAGCTTTTTGAAAGCACATGCTAATCCTTGGCTACTCCTTCACTCTTAAAGATCTGAACAATGTATCTGCTTGGAAACTGTATTTAGGTAGGGTTTGCCGCTTTATTCCATAGTGAGGAAGACAGGAGACCACCAATGAAATGCTGGAGCCTTTGTTCTTGGGCTCTGATGCCTACATTAATTGCCCTAATCCTTTTCAAGTATTTAACACAGATTTGTAGATTTTTTTTTTTAAAGCTGCCTCCTGGGGTCCTGGATCTAGAGATGAAGATAGGATTGACTGCTTTTCAGGCATGCTTTCAATGCCCTATATCTCACCCAATACCCTTACAGTAACTATGTTTCTGAGTCCCTTCTCTTCTTCAAAGTAGGGCAGCTTCCTCCTCAGCAACTGCCTTTCCTGCTTAGACACACTGATGCATCTTATCTTATCCTACATCTTTAATTACCACTCTACCACCTTCTGCCTTCTAGAAATTATTTAAACTTTCTTCTCTACTAAAGATTCTCATACCATTCTCTTTGCTTTAGGCTTTTCCACCCATGTTTTTTACTCCTTTACTATCATTTTAATTAGATCTTAGGAAAAAAGAAGATAAACACATGTTATTAGTCCATCATATTAAGCCAGAGTTACATTTCATATTTTACCTCATTTTGTTATTTGTATTTTAACAAAAGAATTTATTATTCATGCCTAAGGGGGAAAAACATGTTCTGTGGTATTTTTCAGGGGATGAGATATCTTCCTATTTATTATAATTTTCTGGAAATTTTCTTGCACTTATCATCTATGAACTTAGAAATATTTATGTAGGACATCATTAAGGATCATATTACTTTCACTTATTGCAAACAATATACTCAATGAGATTCATTCAGAATGTATTTGCTTTTGCCTAGTTCAAACTAATACTACTTACCCACGTATTGTTCATATGTTTATACCAAGTTGAGTTGATATATTCTAAACAGGTTTAGGCCAATGTTTTATTATTCAATACAGATAATGCCATAAAGTCTCTTTAATTATTTGCTTAGTTTATTAGGTATGAGGAACTTATAAAGTAATTCATTTATATAACGTATATAAAAAAGCCATCTTATCCAATTTCTTTCACAAAAGGAGAAAAAAATGTATTCCATTCAGGTTTCATGAAGTGCTATAGATTGCTAAATTTGTAGTTATCACAGAAATAATAGTAGAAAATATAACATTATCATCCATCATCTTCCTAACTGAACAGCTTAGTATTTTACAAGTTACAAATTATTCTTATGAGAAACTCACACAGAGAAAAAGGAGTCAAAGAAAAGCTTTAAACTACAGTTAGTAATGTCCTTGATCTGCTTTGGGGATCTGTTTTTTATCCTCCAAATACATGGGAATAAGAACTAATTGGAAAATTATAAGTTCTAAGGATAGGCAGAAAATGGAAGAAACGTTGAACAAACAGAACCAAAAAATATTAAGGAAAAAAGAAAAGCAAGGGAGAAAATGGGGTATAAATGGATGAAGAAGGTATACCTTTTTATAGACTAAAGGTCAACATTTATAGGCATTCATATTGCCTTTCACAGAGTGTATAAGTCACTTTTAATTTTTGCTGTTGAAAATCTTAGAAAATGCCTGGGTTTCTGTTTGGCTTAGGTTTGGGCATTTATAAAGTCAGGTTTTCCTAAGATTCTACAGCTATGGTGATAAGAATATTACAATTTTTCAAGAAAGTCACTAATTTTTCGACAGGTACTGCATTGACTGATATTCTACATCTTTCGTTACATGTATCTACAAGGTCTTGAGGGCTTACGTTTTTTGGAATTTTTTTGTTTGCACCTTCAAGGCTGCTGTACCGGGCCCTGCTACCTGCACAAGGCTTTTGCCCTTCAAAATTCTACCTCTTTCAGGTAGATCATAGTTGAATTTTTATATATATAAAGATATCTTTCTAGAAAGATATCTTTCACAGGAGCTGCTCATTCACCAATACTTAAAATCAGCTTATAGAGTTCTTTCTGGCTTGTATACGTTGTCCAAAGTCTTAAGCCATAAGGGAGAGGGAAAGGTAGGAGAGCTGGTGATCAGGTAAACAGGCCCGTGGTCAATTTGTGTAATTTTTCTGACCTCTTTCCTTAAATGAAGCAGCTGCTAACTCGGTATAATGATAATGACTTCCCTCACTATTTCTTTCCAGACTGTACAAACCATTTCCCATTTCAGAACTCCTCTACTCTTTGGATTTACAGCATTGAAAAAGCAGCTACTCATGGTTCAAGTTATAGTTAAAGGCACAGCACCCAATATGAATGGTCATTCATTCAGAATATGTGATATTAATCCCACGGATTTGCTTTATTTCAGGATCCCTTTCTTTGCTCTTGAGTATGGTAGGAGTTTGACTTTGGTATAAATATGTGTGTTGCAATCATTGGTCATGTTCACCCAACATATTTATGTTTCTTTGATTCCAGCATGTGGCAAATTGATGAAAATCACAGGCCCAATTACAGTCAAGACATCTGGAACCCGATTTGGCGCTTGGATGACAGACCCTTTAGCATCTGAAAAAAATAATAGAGTATGTTGCTTCCACAAACACCTTTGCTTAGAATCATACTTTATTTGCACTTTATGTCTATCGAATGATTTATTTTCTTTAGGAATATTAATTTCAACTTGAAAAGTGTTAACGTTGTTTGCCAAGTATTCTCCGTTTGATAATATGAACATATCTACAGCAACCTTATTTTAGTAAAATATTCCATCTTCTAATTCAACAGTAAAGCTAGTTCAGTTTTTATTCGTTTTAGTCTTGTTTTATGCTAATAAAGAGCTAATTACAAGTACACAAAAGTCTCTACACACTCCTTCTAAAACCTGCTCCTTAGTGTGAGGAAAAAAAAAATAACACTAAGTAAGTGAAAAACTCAAGAGCAACCGATTCACTAACAAGCTGAAATATCCCTGGAATCTAGAGGTAATTTTAAAGTAAATAGTACTGAAACTTTTGGAGTATATTTTCCTAAGTTGACAATGTCTGCATTATGTAAATCAATATACTGGAAACTTACCATAGCGCTATTTATGGTCTATCACAAAATTCAGTTCACATTAAGATTCTCAAGGGTTACATGCAAATGAGATTAGTAGTTAAATTAATAAAATGGTTACACTAAAAAACAGCTGTACCTATAGTGATCCAATTAACAAGCGTTACTGTAAGTTTCTATGGTATCCATAAAGGAGAAATAAATGAGTAAAATTAGACCATATATTTTTCAGAGCAAAAGAATATAGTTGCTAAAGGTAGTATTTTTTTGCTGTTATCACTGATTTCACTGATCCTTCAAATGAACAAAGTAACGTGAATTGCATTGATACACGTTTCGTTCACTTGATGATATGCACTGAATGGTCAGAGAAACAAATAAATAATAAAAAGAACAGAAAGCAAATCAACTTTAAGGCAGTGAATTCAGTTGTTTGCTTTCCACGTAGACAATGCCACAATTTTCTCCTGCAGTGCTATCACATTGCAGGAGGTCAGCAGTAAAATAATAAGTGGCTTCCAGATCCTGAGAATGGAGGTATTAAAATGTGCTGACTCTCACTGTCTTTATTTTGGAAATCTCAGACAAGTACAGAATTTAGTCACTCCTCTATTTTTTTTTCCCCTTTTCCTCAGGTCTGGTACATGGACAGTTATACCAACAATAAAATTGTTCGTGAGTACAAATCAATGGCAGACTTCATCAGTGGGGCTGAATCACGGACATACAACCTCCCTTTCAAATGGGCAGGAACCAACCATGTTGTCTACAATGGCTCACTCTATTTTAACAAGTATCAGAGTAACATCATCATCAAATACAGCTTTGATATGGGGCGAGTGCTTGCCCAACGAAGCCTTGAGTATGCTGGATTTCACAACGTTTACCCCTACACATGGGGTGGCTTCTCGGACATCGACCTAATGGCTGATGAAATCGGGCTGTGGGCTGTGTATGCAACGAACCAAAATGCCGGCAATATAGTCATCAGCCAACTTAACCAAGACACCTTGGAGGTGATGAAGAGCTGGAGCACTGGTTACCCCAAGAGAAGTGCAGGGGAATCTTTCATGATTTGTGGGACACTGTATGTCACCAATTCCCACTTAACAGGAGCCAAGGTGTATTATTCATATTCCACCAAAACCTCCACATATGAGTACACGGACATTCCCTTTCATAACCAATACTTTCACATATCCATGCTTGACTACAACGCAAGAGATAGAGCTCTTTATGCCTGGAACAATGGTCACCAGGTCCTATTCAATGTCACCCTTTTCCACATCATTAAGACTGAGGATGACACATAAGCAAATGTAATTTGTTTTCATTGATTGAAACCGTGTCATTTGTGATAAACTCTATAGAACCCCCTTCTGTTTTCCCTTTATTGTAACTTCTCATCATTTCTCCAAAGCATTTTTTTTTTATTATTTTAAAGTTGGTTTGTCAAAAATCAGCCGAGCCTGTCTAAATTGACCTGTTGGAAACACATCTTAACTCCTAAATTTACGGGGCCTATCATGTCCTTGTCGTGAAAAGCACTAAAAAGAGCTTAAGTGTCTAAAGTTATAGTTTTGCAAAAGGTTAATGATCTGCCTTATATTAGAGTCAGAGACTAATGATGGCTTAAATGCATGAATGTCTTTTTTTTTTTAATTCTGTCATTTTTTACTGTCTTTTGCTCTACATCAGGAAATATTTTGGTAGGAATTAGGGGAAAAAAAAGCACTTTCCTCCCATTTATTTCTAAAAAAGATTTAAGGATTTTATTTATAGGGAAAATATATTACTCATTTTGCTGTTATAGAATTCTCTGATGCGGTGCTGTACAGTCATTTTTAAATCTCTTGCTAACATTTTATTGGCAATATGTATTTCTACCATTGTAACCACCATTGTGCAATTGTATCTCTTCACTTCTGTGAAAGTAAGTAATATTTTTTATAAAATACACTGAAGTTTAATCTCAGTAATTCTTATGGGCCAATTTTCAAGTGTGGTCAGGAGAAAATATCTTCTCGGCTTACCCCTTTATTTAAATTTATAATCAGGAAGAAAAATCAAACTAAATCCCTTACATAGAATATTTCTTTTACCCCAAATTTATTGGATCACTAACACTGAATGCTAAAACTAACTACAGATGAGTTATTCTATTCACTTCACTGAAAGCAACCCACATTGTTGCTTGCAAAGATGCAACTGAGTCAGAAAATTTTGGATTTGAGTTGACTTTACTCATTTATTATACAACCAACCAAATTTTGTTCTTCATAAATAAGTCTATTAGTGTTTTAACTTAAATTTTACACACAACTTGCAATAATGTAATTACTTGTGTCAGGACTCTGAAAGTACATGAAGCACATATAGAAACTCTTAAAAAGAAAATTTCTGTGAGGTCATCTAGATTTACATTATGAACCCTGGAGAGTTACTGGCAATGTGAGTGCAAAAGAAAATGATGGGTAGACTTGGGAGCTGTCTGTGCGGTTTAAATGTGCAAAAAACCAATTCAGAAAACAAGATGGGAGGGCAACCCCTTGTTACCCTGATTCATAATGTGTGCAGAAATAATGTAACCAAAAAAGAAAGTTTTAATAACATTTTATGTTAATAATCTCAAAAACATATAATCGATATTTATCAAACATGTCATTGAGTTTGGATGTCCTTTCCATATGTTAAAAATACTTACCTAAGGCAGTTTTACAGAAACTAGAGTGTGGGTTGGTTTTACAATTTAAAAAGTATATTCTATAACAAATAATGTATAACTTAAATTGTGGTAAATGTTTAGTTTCACACATACATAATAATAATTTCCTTTGTAAAGTAAGGATATAGTAATTCAGATAGAGCATTGTGTAAAGAAATGCTAACACTTAAGTAATTCATTTCAAATGTCACAAGTAAAACATAATTCTCAAGTATCTCACTGTCAAAGTCATAGAATTAAATAACTCAATCTTGAGATTGTTCAAGTTTAACAACGGTTTCTTTACTTTTTGTCTACAAAAAGTTAGCATGACTTAGTGACCACTCTGGGTCCTTTTGCAATGTTGTCTTCTCTTTTAAAATGTTTATATAAGTTCTCCTCTGCTTTTGAGAGTTAGAAAATTTAGGGGATTCACTTGTCATTGTACACACACCACAAAAATAATCAGCCAATACTTTGTATATCAAGAGTTTGTATGAAGAAAGAAAGCCAATTTAAAAAATGAATGAATTTTTAAGTAGATGGCCTCTGATGGATATCTGGGTCTTCATTACTTGTTTTTTAAAAAAATGATGTAATATAGTATCACATACATTCAAAACCTGGATGATCACAGCTTTTTTGTGAGATGTGCAGCTTGTAAAGCACTTTATTGTTTTCTATGTAAGGTATCATCACCACATCCAATTTCTAGTGTATGTGCTGCTAGGGCACGCACAGATTTTATTATTGTCATAGAAGTGGGGGTAACATGAATTTAAAAATGTGATTTGCATTAAACATTTACAGTTTAAAAGCATTCTTCTTAATAAATTATTATCAGTTTTGTGCCTGAAATAAGAACTTACTCTAATCACTGTTTTTTTTTTTTAACTCTCAAACAAATTTTATGAGGGTAATAACTTACTACTTTAAAATCATTTACATAATCCTATCAGTAAAGAAATCCAAGCTTAATCCTAAATGAACTGTGCAACTGGTATTTTCTGAATTAACCAGATCGTTAACAAACTTCTATGTCATTCAAATAATAACATGATCATGGTCTGATTGTGTTTGTGTGACCTTTTTATTTGTGGCCCTTGAATCACAATACTTACTATCTACACATATATCTATTAGTTCATAAAATTATAGTGTTTCAGTGCATTACCAGTATGTAGGGTAAAAGAGAATATAATGATATGCCTAAATATAACATTACAAGTAATTAGATAAAATTTACCATAAATTCAGAATCTCTGGTTTTTATCACTGTACTCAGAGTCATTTCATCTTTATAATCCATATGACTCCTTCTAATGAAATCTTTTCTTCAGAAACAATTTAATCCTAATAAGAAAATGGTCTTTCAAATCACTACCAAACTTACAAGTATAAATTTTTCACCCAGAAGAATTATTTTTTAAATATAACTATACAAAACTGTTCTTCTGTTCTCCTAAAAGTAAGTTATTTTCCTACTAAGGTAAGTTTTGCATATAATAGTCCTTTAGCTTTATTCTCCTTAAAGAGTATATTTCCAAAAAGAAAAAAGAAAAAAAGAAAACCCTACTTGTCTCCTTAGCACTCAAGATTACCAAATCATTTCTCCAAATGCTAAGTTTGAATGCAACTGATAGCAAAATTAAAACTATTCCTTCGAGTTAGAGAGAATATGAAAAAATAGATAGTGCAGAGTTTCTAAAAGCTAAGCCTTCTAGAAATATATCAGACACTTTTGAAAAAAGAATTGAAAAATGGCAACTTGCTGGTTTGACCAGGAAGGTACAATTATATCCTTTACGAACACCTTGAGTTCCTATAACATTATAAAAGAAAGGGCATTTACAGACAAATTTTACTTCACCTTCTCTACCACCACATGATAAATGGACCACAAGAACTCCTATAAAGTGGTCTACCTTGCACTATAAGCAGGGATAATTAAATTAAAATTAGCTGTTATAGGATGACACAAAGCCTTAATCTCTGACTGCTTATAGGTAGAGACACTGATTTCTAGAGTCCCAGAGGAACTAAATATCACTCAGTTCAGTAGACTATATCCATACTGAAATCAAGATCATGGAATGGTTTCTGGTTCTAAAATTAACTAAGCTTAGCATAAATAAATCTCTTAGGTAATAATTTTTCATAATCAGTGACTCCTCAGAGAAGGTCTGGGGCTTTGTAAAATATATTGTTTTGAATTTAACTTATATTAGAAAAAATACAATGAAAACATTAGTTGATGGAAGGAACACCAACTTCAAAATCTTCTAGCTATTTTTCTATGAAATAATGAATCCAACTGATGACAATCTCTTTCATAGAAAACTGTTCTACTCTTTTAACCAATCCAAATGAAAACCTCCCAAACTGACTTTACCAAGCTGATTTATCAGATTCACATCTTAAAATTATTTTATACAGCTTTTGCCTTTTGGTTGAACTATTCCATTAGACTTAGAATAATTTTAATCCTGTTTGGATTCTGCTTTGATTCCAAAATGTCAAACTGGTTACCCTTTAAAGCTCATTTCACGGTTGCCAAGTAAGTTTTACAAGCGTAATTATCCCTAAACATGTCCTGAAAATGATATAAGGACCTAACACTGTACCTTGCCAAGAATATTTAGTACCTTTCATAACTATAACCATCTTAAAACATTATTCCTAATTAGAGATGTGAAGCAATGTGGTAAATAAGGAGAAGTTCTCAGGAATACCTTAGTGCTACAAGACATTTGCTGATACCATACACACAAATACGGTTGTATTTGGGTTGCATCCCTACCAATGGTATAGTCTGTCTAGAAGAGCTCACACCCATATTCTAAAAAAAAAATAAATAACCAAAATTTCGCCATAATATATCATTCCCTACTACAATCAGACCTGGAAATACCGTATTTTCAGCAGACATTTCCTGAAGATAAATATTATATGACAAAGATCTTGAAAAGACCTCAAAAAATGAGCTGACTAAAAGAAGCATTAGCCATTTCAAATTTAAGCATGTTATAGAATTATCATATTGAACTTGGTAATACATATCCAGCTAAGCTTTTTGTCTGTGTCACTCTTAACTTCATGAACTCATATATGTTACCAATACGTAGTTTATGGGCTTTCCAACTAGGTAATATTGAATTATTTATTCATTTATTTGAAAAATAAGCCCTGAGCAAAACTATGTATCTAGACAATTTCTAGATGATAAGGATAGAACTGTCAACAGATAAGGTCTTCTTCATGTGCTTACATTTTAGTAAGAACAGGCTGCAAAAAAAAAAAAAAAAAATATATATATATATATATATAAAGGAAAAAAGTTATGATTGTACTAATTGTTGTGAAGGAAATAAATACTTTAAGTCATTAAAAGTGAGTGAATGTTTGCTAGGGGCAGGGTTGGGGTAGGAAGTAATATATAAGAGGGAATAGTAAAGAGTGATTTCTCTTAGAAGCAGCCTGCCATGGCAAATTCAGTCAAAGAATGGAATGTCACAAATCTAATCCACGTACAAAATTTAACATCTTCCTTTATGTTCCTAGAAATCCATGGACCAAGCATTTCTTAATATGTCTCTATTACAGAAGTTATTTTTTTAACTTGGAGTTTAAGGATATACGTCTGGGCATGGCTGAACCCTGAAAATATGTGCTAAATTTAGTGTATATATGTGGTTGTACATTCTCTCTCATGTAGAGACTTCAGAGCTTTCATCACATTCCCAAAGAACCATGACCCAAAAGATCACCACCATGTCAATGCAACCTAATTTAATCACAAATTTACTAAACGTCTTTATGATAAGCACTAAATGTCTGTCCTCTGTCTTGCAATCCAAAAATTTCAGCTTGCTTCAGAAAGGAAAACAATTGACACCCTAATATTATGGGTAATTTTTTTTTCCTCAGAAGAACTCAAGATTAAGTCGTTCTCTATAAAACATTTAAAGGGACTTAATATTTTGTTCAAATCTAATTATTTTTCTGTGATCCAGTCTGTAGGGCATCTTCTTACCAGATTCAGTGACCCAGACTCTCTATTTTAAGACTCTTATAACTACCTGAAACTGGAGAACATTTTTTATAATTCTAGCACAGCCTTTTGGCAGCCCCATTAGAATCTGACTGATACTGAGCAGACCCGTGTGCTTCCTCAAATTGAACGGCAAACTCCTCTTCTGAAATTAGCAACAGTGGCAACACAGAAACAGCGAAAACGAAAGGTTATACCACTTGTCTTGCTTGAGAAGTTATTGTAATTGATATGTATGCAATCTACAGCTACAGAAAATAAAAAGATTTTTATTAAAAAAAAATCCTCCAGTCAAGTTTATAAAGTGATGCTGAGTAAAGCATTGAAGCAGCTTCTGTCAGTGATGTTTTCTTCCCCCCCCAACCAAAGACCTTGAGAAGACATTCATTAGCTTCTACTTTAATGTGAACCAAAAAGAATAAAAAGAAGTATTTTTATTCTCTCTCCTCCAGTGTCTTTATTAAACTCCATTAGAAACTACTCTTGGAATATGCTGTATGCATTGAAAAAGAAATGGAATATGTCTTTATATGAGTAATGAGTTTCTATATAAATGATATTCTTGCCCTTCAGGTAAAGTTTCGCCCAGCAAAGTGGCTAAAATGCATAATTAATTTGTGATTAGCTTTTCTTGCCATTCTTTCTTAGAATATGTGCACTAAACATAACCAAAAGAACTCTTTCCATTGTACATTGCTTTCTATTTTTCAAGGCTCTGTCATTTCTATTCTTCCATGTATGGCTTTACAACAGTTCTGTGGAATAGGGAGGGCAAACATTTTTATCCTTAATAAGAAAACAGAACATTTATGTTTCAACGTTTATATTTCTCCATAGATATTCCATAGCACTTAATATGTTCCAGACCAAAGTACGTCTCTTTCCCTCACCTGCCCCCCAACCCCCATCGCTTTTCCTTCTCACCTCAGTTAACAGAAACATCATCCCATCCTCACCCTTCCTTCTCACCACATCTTTGGCTCTTTAAATGCACCTTCCCTTACATTATGAGATTCTCATGACAAATAAAATATGACAAAGTTTAAACATATCTAAAATCTGAATCAGTGCCTATTTCAGATGTTTGTTCTCAAAAATTACCTCCAGTTTGTTTGGTTCACTCAGTGTTTTCTAGCTCTCTTCAATCAACTCTCTCATCTCCATTTCTATACTCAGAATTGGGTGGCCTGTTTGGAAAAGCTTCTTTTGAATAGTGACCTCTGATTTCTCCTATGTAATCAGTTTTACCTTTTGCTTTGGCCAAGGGACACTTCCACCAACCATGGCTTTATGAAATGCTCCCTGACCCAAGCAATCCCTCATTTTGCAAGTCAGACTAAAGGGTAAATTTTATACCTTCCTTCATAATCCACATTCAAGTCTGACATCTTACTCTCTTTCATTAAATTCCTATTCATCATTCAGAATTCACTTAAAACATTATCTTATTTCAGAAGTCTATAAAAAAGTCATTCTTTTGTGTTCTTAAAGTATTAATCTTGTATTACTGAAATTATTACCTCACATTATTTGTTTCCTCCAAGTTAGTATGGACTTTCCCCAGAGTAGGAGCAATTAATTATTTTCCTATTTATCCTGGCAGTTTCTAACACAGAATAACCCCACAGTAAATGGTATTAACCAAAGAAGTATAAGAAGTATAAGATGGAGTATAAGTATAAGTATAAGAAGTGTAAGATGGAGTATCTTCTCATATCTAAAAATACAAAAAACTTTGTTCCATTCTTAGAACATCATAACAAATTAACTTTTCCAAATTTATTTTATTGGAAATAAGTTCCTATCTCTTACTAAAGTAAGATTTTAAATACAGGAAGTGTCAAGAAGATAAAAATGGCTTAACTTGCTCTCAGGTGACTTTTCTCTTCGTGATACAGAATTCTATTATAGGACAAAATACCTTAAAAGGGTCACCATATTTATTTGCCTTATTTCTCCTCTTCACACTAATTTCTAAAAAGGAAAAAACATTTTAATTTTCACCCACTCAGTTTCTTATTTCTTATTTTGCCTTCATTTCTCCTGTAAGTAAAGACTTCTCTTAGGAATATACTTCATCTTTGGCACAACAGGGTTTTCTCAAAATGGCATGAGCTACCAGGCCAGGAGAAAGTCAAGGAGCCATTCCTCCCCTCTTCACCTGTTACCCTCTCCTTCCTTATCCTGTGTTTTCAAAGGACACACCAACAAGAAATCTGATGGTCATTCATTTTCCCGTGAGTCTAACTAAATGCAACTTGTAATGCCTTCTAAGTAGATGGGTTATTCATCTACTGCAAGCAAGTCTTGCAAAGGCAGAATATTAGTTCTGAAGTTACGTTTAACTATATGTCTTGGTTTCTATAAATGAAAGCAGGAGGCTTTATCAGCAGTTTTCAAAAACTGCCCTTTAGAGCTTGAGGTTTCTATAGGGATCCTTTTGAGTCTGCCATGAAAAAACAGACACGCTTAATTGAGGTGGGAAAATGAGCCACAACC